GCCCGGTGATGCTGTAGAAGACCGTAATCTCTTTTGCCTTGCTGGATTTGATCTGGTGCAGAAAGTGGGTTGAGAGAGTCAGCCAGGTGGCGGCCGGGAGCGGACCCTCGGAGCAGAAGGGCTGCTGGGGACACGCGAGGCCCTCGCGGTCCCACTTCCTCCTGGATCGGGGAGCGTGGCATCGCCCCGAGTCCGTGGTGGGGCACTGCTAGGCACCGCGACAGTCCAAGCCGGTGTCCCCGCCTCTTGGGCCGTCCTGGGCCCGTGTCGGCCCCCGGAGCAGCCACCCCACTGCGGAGCCCTTACCTGCACGAGCTGCTTGGGGAAGGGGCCCCTCTCGTTCTCGGAGCAGGTGATTGGGGGGATGACCCAGTCCCTCTTCTGTCTTCTCAGGCCTGGGCCAGATTTCGGGAAGGTCAGCACCTGGGTGTGAGCGATGCCACTGAACTCCTGTGGAGAAAGGCAGGTCGCTGTCCCCTTCCATCTTGGATTTGGCGTGGCCTCTTTCTCTTAGCACAGTGGAGGGATCTGTTTGCCAGACACTCAAGTGCCAGGCAGCTCCGTGGCCACATGGAAGGATTACTGGCCAGCAGCAAAATGAGATTTAATCTGGTGTGGCCAGTGGAGTTCATAGTCCGCTCTTCCCTCTTGCCTGGGAATTATGGGAGAGGCAGGTCCGTTGCTCAACTAACGGGTGTGTTCATCCATCATGCAAAGTCACCTTGAAAGTAAGCCACAGGGGTCCGTCCCCCCGAATAATCCTTGTCACACCCCCTCAGCCCTCCTGACCACCCCCACCACATCGCCGCAGGGGTCGCCACTCGCAAGGGAGGCTGCTGCTTCTCCCAAAAGAGAAATGCTTTTCTGAGCCCTTACGGGCGTGGTAGATCATTAGCAGACCCTTCGGAGAAACACCGGACCACCTGTTCTCCTTTTAGTCCGGCATTCCCGCAGCCCCCTTTGGCCCGCGTGCTCACCAATGTCTTCCTCCACTTGGGTGCTCATCTGGCAAGGGAGCCCCCCAAGAGCCTGGCTTGTCTGCTGCCAAGGAAGTGCACCTGCTCGGAAAGCTGCTCCTCTCGCAGCCCCCAGCAGCTCGCTGCCTCCCCCACCCCTCTCCTCGTGCCTGGCCTCCTTCCCGGCCCCGGTTAATTGCCGAGTAAACACAGCAGTTAGCAGGGGCCGGGATCGGAAAAGGCTCGCAAATTTCATGGCAGAGCAGAGAAGTGGCCGGGAGGGGGTTGGCTAGCAGTGGGCTTTGGGATGTGGGTGCTTCTGCAGGACGTCCCCACATAGAAAAGCTTGGGAATGTGCTGCCCTTTGCTCCCTGTTTTTAGGAGTGTCGGGCGGAGGGCGCTGGGAAGGGAAGAGGCAGATGGTGGCAGGGGAGAGGGGCGGGCCGGCCACGTGGACCAGCCAGCCACAAAGAGGTCGCCCTGCCAGGTCCGGGTCCCCCGGCAAGACACCCTGGGCGCATGACGGCCAGAGCTGCCACGGGGCCGGTGTGGTGCAGGACGGGTCCCTGGACGGCGGTGCTCCTGCAGCCGCCCCTCCCCGGGGCCGCGGCCCACCCTTCCCCCACCCCCGTGGGCAGGAGGGCTGTCCTACCTGCGTGGTGAGGATGAGCAGCAGCAGGAGCGGGACCCCCGGGCGGGCCATGGTGCAGCCTCTGCGCGTTCTCCCTCGGTCTGTGAGACTCTCCCGGGAGGCAGGCGGGCGCTGCAGATGCGGGGAGAGCAAAGTCTGCCTGCCAGCGCCCTTCGAGAAGGGGGGGGCGGGGCGGGCACGGCATGGATCTGGCTCCCACACCCCCCTGGGAAGGGCCCAGGCCACCTAGGCGGGTGCCACTGGGTCAGGGCAGGCTTATGGGGAGCCTCTCCTACAGAAGGGTCCCTGCGCCTCCTGGGGGCCACAGGCCCTTCGTGGGTGGGGCCCAGTCGGGCCAGGACTCGGCCCTGCAGCCCCTTTGCAGCGCCCACGCCCCCCTTTAGCGCTGTCAAGGAACGGCAGGGGGGAGGGAAGGGGAGGGGAGGGGAGGGGGCACGAGGGAAGCCGGGCCTGCCCTTGGCCAGGTGGGGTGGCCGTGCGGCTGGCCAGGAGCGGAGCCATCACAGGATGACTCGGGTCGTCGTGGCAGCTGTGGGGGGCATCCCCACGGCTCGCGGCGCCCCCTCTCCCGCTCTCGGGGGGCCGCCTGGCTGCCTCCTGGGGCAGCTAGCCCCCGCGTCCCCACGGCCAGGGTACTCCCGCCAGGCGAGTGCTGCGGGCAGCCCAGCGGGCTGGCCCGGGCGGGGGTCTCCAGGCAGAGGCGCTGCCCTCGGCCGCCGCGCGAGGGCGCCCTAGGAGCGCTCCGGCGGCGCTCATTCCGAAGGGGAAAAGCTTTCCGAGGGGTCTTCGCCCTCCCCGGGCCTGCGCCGGCGCTGCAGCCTCGCCTGGCCGGGCTGCCCCCGAGTTCAGCCAGAGGCCGACCCGGGCAGCTGCTGTGGCCATTTTGCAGGCGTCCCTGCCAGGGCTCCTGTGGCAGGCACCCTCCTGGAGGAGGCGGTCCGGCCACAGGGGGCGGGGATCGTGCTGTGCCGAAACTGGCGCTCTCGGCTCCCGGAAGCCCCCTTTCCAGCAGGACTGGCCGCATGGAGGGACCGGGAGGCGATGCCATGGCTTCCCCCCACCGGGTGCTCGCCTGCTCTTTCGGACGACAGCCTGGCCAGGAGATGCCACGAGCTGTGCTCAGACGCCAGGCTGGAGAAGACGGCAATGCAGTCAAGCCGGCTGCACGTGGTCCAGGGCACTCGGCCCGCCCAGAAGATCCGGGGAAGGGAGCGGCCTGCCCCACCTGCATAGCCAGCCGGGCTCCTTCGCAGAGCCCAGGGGCCCCACCGCTGCCCTGCCCGCCACTCCCCAAAGGCGTTGTTGTCCCTGCTGAGGCCTCCCCACCAAGCAGGAGCCCGCAGGAAGCTGGCCGTGCTCCGGGCTGGCGTTTGCGTGGTCCATCCGGCACGCCCCCTATCCTGCGAAGGCGCCCGAGGCCCCTGCCGCCCCTTGGTGCCCCTTGCCTTCTGTGGGAGCCCTTTAGCAGCCGAGGCGACCATGCTTCCCCCCGGAGAGGGGGGCCCTTGGGGGCTTCTGCAGGAGAGGGCGAGGCCCTGCCCCCCGGCCTGGCTGGAGCACGGCTGTGCTTCCCCGGTGATCCCATCCCATCGGCATTTGCAGACCCGCCTGATCCACTTTCGCCCGCAGCCCACGAGTCGGCTGTTCATTTTGCTCATCCATGCAGGACGGGCGGCTGAGCTGGAGCGCTTCCAGCCCTGCCTGCCCCTCTGCACGTGGGAAGGGGTGACCGGCCAGGCCCCGCACGGCCTCCACGCAGCCCGATGCCTTCCGGGGCAGGGTTCGGCTCTGCTCCTGGGGGGGTGGGGGACCCTTCTCCTGGGCATCACGTCCCTGGACGACGCGGGCACCAGAATCCTGCAGCCGCTCCCCTGAGGTGCCTGGCGGCCTCTCCGCAGTGCCAGCTGCTGCACTGGGGGGCAGCCCCGCTCCATGGCTGAGGGACCACCTCCCCATGTGCCCTGCCAGCCGGCCAACCTGTAGGGCCTGCCGCGCGAGCGGGGCAGCCTCCCTCAGGCATGTCCAGCCACAGAGAGACACCCACAGATGGGTGCCTTTGCAGGGGGGGGGGAGCGGCCTGCTGGCCGAGGAGGTCAGTTTTAATGTCTGCGTTCTGGGTTTCTCATCGTGGCGCTGCTTCCGCCCTTTGATCCTGTGTTGCCTTTTCTGCACTTTCCCCAGCTCCACAATATGCTTTTCAGGGGTGTTGGCCAAAGCCACGCGGTTTCCCAAGCGTGGGTCCATCCCAGGCCAGTCTGGCAAGCATTGCTCTCCGTGTGGGTTTCTGTTCCTCTTCTAGAGAGGCCCAGCTTGGAATTTGCCGTTGCATCGCAGCTGCACGGTGGGTTGACATTTCTGCTGATCTGCCGGCCGAGAGCAGCTCCAAGCTCGCTCTCTCAGTGGCTGCCAGCTGGGATTCTGGCCCTGAACTGCCACCCTTTTACACCAGCTCACAGCGAACCACATTTGTGATTTGAACGAATGTTCTCCTCATGTACAGAGGGCCTTTTAGAGCCCCTCATGATCTCTGTTTTAACTACCCTAAATAAGTTGGCGCCATCAGCAAACCTGGCCACTTCATGGCTTGCTCCTAATCCCCCGTTATTTATGGACAAGCGGAGAGGCGCTGGTCCCAGTGCTGGGCGCTGTGGGACTCCGCTGGGTGCAGCCCTCCTCCGACTCTACGCTCTGCCTCCTGCCCCTGAAGCCGTGGCAGGTCCGTGGCAGGTCCTCTGCTCCTGCTCCACCACTGCTCAGGGGCGTTCTCCGAGGGCCTCCTGGAGGTCAAAGGCCTCTTGGAAGTCCAGGTAAACAAGTCAGCTGCATCAGCCCTATCTGCATGTGTATTGACATTCCAGAAGAACTCCAAAAGACCAACAACGTAGCTTTGCAGAAACCGTGTTGAGTCTTTTCAGCAAGGTTCGTCCTTCCACATACTGATGCATTTTATCTTTAATAATGTTTTGGGACAAGTTAACCGGAACAGACTTTAAGCTAAGTAGCCTGCAATTCCCTAGATACTCCCAGATTCCCCCCCACCGCCTGCTTTTTAAAATTAATGTTACCTTGGCTGCTCTCCAGTCCTCTGGGACAGAAGGCTAATCCATATTGCATATTTTCATTGGAAGACCTGCCATTTCACATGTGAGACCTTTAAGCACTCCAGGATGGAACCCGGGTGGGCCAAGGATCTCTCGTCTTCCAGATTCTCAGCAAGGAGGAGAGCCGGGCTCTTGTCGCTGCCCTTTCCCTCAGTCCCTCAGACTCCTCTTAAAACCATCCCGCAGACGAGCTCTTTGCTGGCAAGCTGGCACTTCCCACCCCTTTGAGCCCCTCCGCGGGAGGGGCACACGCCCTCTGCCCCGCTGCAGGGAGGGCCCGGCCGCCGGTGGCCCCCTCCCTCCCCCCCCCTCGGGTACGTGCGTGATGCAGCAGGCTTCAGCCATGGATGCTGATGGCTGCTCTTCCTGTTGTCTCTGCAGGCAGCTCTCCAACAGGTGCGTAGCCTGCCTCACACACCCAGCTCCGTGCCGGGCTGCGGGGGTGGTGGGAGCGGCACCACACAGACCACAGCCAGGGAAGGCTGGACGGCCGCTTTCTGGCTCCACTTTGCTCTGGCAGTTCAGACGTGGGATTCAGCCAATCTGGGGGTGGCTGCTCACGGGATCACAGGGCTTGGCTGAGCGGATATGTTGAAAAATTAATAAGGAGCGTGATATTTCAAGAACCAGCAAAATGGCTTGTGAAAATAATTTTGGCAGTTTGACTAAAAACCAAACCATCTGGCTACAGAGTTTCCGGCTGGGTCAGGGTTGTCTGCCGTGCCCATTGTCAGGTTCCCCGCAAGGTGCAAGAGAAGCTGCCCCCCTGTGCTTCCACACCAAGGCCTGGCTTTGGGGAGGCCCTGGCCCCTCTTCTCGTCACCCCTGCCCCCCCCGCCCCCGTCTCAGCGCCTGTATTTTGCTGTTGCTTGGGCGGAGGAGGGGCTGCCGTGTGTGCTGCCTTCCAGCAAATAGCCCTCCCCCCCTGAGGGCCAGAGAAGGAAGCGGGGCGGCTCCAGGGAGCGCCCCCCCTCCGCACTCATGGGCAAGCACAGCACCGGTCCTGCCCCCCTGCTGACTGCTGCCTTAATTCCCCACAATGCTCTTCTACAACATGGCTTGTTGCGGGGCATTCTGGGAAATTGAAACAGTTCTATTCATCCAGCACGGACAAGGTATTTCCTTCCCCAGGAGTTCCCCTGCCACCACAACCTTGAATCAGTGGCAGTCGTAGATTCCGTTTATCCTGCCCCCTCCCGCAGCGCTTCTTCCTGAGCGAGCCAAGAGCACTTTGCTGCGTTTCCCCGAGCCCGGTTACCCACACCCTGCATCTGGCTCTGCTCCGGAGCAGGCCCCTTCGATCTGCTTTCTCCCGAGCTAAAAAAGGCGCTCGCGTGAAGGACATTATGGGTGAGGGAAGGCGGGTCCCTGAGCCGCGGGGCAGGCGGGCCGCCCCCCCGCGCCCCCGGTGCCCCGCTCGGCCACGCGGCGGGCGCCCCTTCCCGGCGCTTCCCATCGTCGCTTCCCGGGCGGCTGGCGAGGCCGCGGGGGAGGGACGGGCGCCCTCGGGCGACCAGGCTGGGCGGGCGGAGGGCGACCCGCGGGGCGAGCGGCGCCGCGGCCGCCCCG